AACCCCCGCTGGTCTTCTGGACCTGAGACCTCCCTGACCACATCGTATCACCCGAGGAGGACTTACCCCGGGGGTAACACACGCAGAGCCACGCCTTATGGTGGCCGATACTTAAACCCAGGAACCCCCGCTGGTCTTCTGGACCTGAGACCTCCCTGACCACATCGTATCACCCGAGGAGGACTTACCCCGGGGGTAACACACGCAGAGCCACGCCTTATGGTGGCCGATACTTAAACCCAGGAACCCCCGCTGGTCTTCTGGACCTGAGACCTCCCTGACCACATCGTATCACTCGAGGAGGATATACCCCGGGGGTAACACACCCATAGCCACGCCTTATGGTAGCCGATACTCATACCCAGGAACCCCCGCTGGTCTTCTGGACCTGAGACCTCCCTGACCACATCGTATCACCCGAGGAGGACTTACCCCGGGGGTAACACACGCAGAGCCACGCCTTATGGTGGCCGATACTTAAACCCAGGAACCCCCGCTGGTCTTCTGGACCTGAGACCTCCCTGACCACATCGTATCACCCGAGGAGGACTTACCCCGGGGGTAACACACCCATAGCCACGCCTTATGGTGGCCGATACTCATACCCAGGAAGCCCCGCTGTTCTTCTGTACCTGAGACCTCCCTGACCACATCGTATCACCCGAGGAGGACTAACCCCGGGGGTACTGTTGTGGAAATGTTACCAGGATGTGTTTTTAGTATATTGTCATCATGTCTCTCGATTGGAACGTGATTCCTATGGATATGCGTGGCAGAGCAGTGTTTTCTTAGCGAGTGTGTGGACGCCGGCCAGGGCCCCTGCGCGGTGCGCCGATTTATTGGCGTGGATGCATTTGCTTTGAGGACATAGTATTATTTAAAAGGAGAAGTATGAGGTCAGGGCTTTTCCCCATAGTTCTCCTTAGGGTAACGGGGCGACACAAATTAGCGTCCTCCCGTCACCCTAGGCTCAGTATATAGGGAGCTACAGCTCGCGGTATACTGAGACGCCGCAGCCGGGACAATTCTGTCTGGCTCCGCCCAGCTGCGTGAGTGACAGCTGGCTCCGCCTATCTAGAGGCAGAGCCAGCTGTACCCGCCCCCTCCCGTTCCGCCAGTCAGCGCTGGAGGATCGGAGCGGGGAGAGGGGAATCCAGCCCCTCCCCCTGTCACGGCAGAGAGCCGTGACAGGATCGAGAAGTGAGCGAGCGCCGGTATGTGTTCGCTCACCTCCCGATCTACTGAGCCGACCTGTGACAGTCTCATTGTCACAGGTCGGCTGGAACTATGAGGTGAGTGAAAAGCCCCTCCCCCCCCTCATAGTTCTCCTTTAAGATGCCTATCTGCCTTCATGAAAGGAACGTGCGTTTGTATTTCTGATGCGTCTGATCAGCGCGCTGGAAGTGGTATGGCATTGTCCCTGCAGATAAGCTTCCATTCATGAGAATCATAATAACTTTATTGGGCGTTGCTCACTGAACAATGCTGGATAAGGTTCGCTCCAATGTCAACGGGAGATTAAAGATGGCGGCGACCATAGGCAACCATGCTGCTTCTGCACACCGCTTCCACCATGATACAGACATACACTCCCCTTTTCTATTGTGTACATGTGTTTTGTTGGCTGGCTATGATATGTTGGTGTATTGAGGAAGTGATGTCGGTTGTGGACATCACTTCCTGTTTGACATCACTTCCTGTTTGACGTCTATAAAATAAATGGAGCTTCGGTGGAGGGGACACTTGAAACAGAAACTCCACCTTTTCTTGAATCCAGGCCCGGATTCCCCACAAGGCCACTGGGGCCCGGCCTAGGGGAGGCAGAGCGCAGAGGGGCGGCAGCGGTGACCTTGTGGGGAAGTTGCGGGGCGCCGGTGTAAGGGTGTCCGGAATGGGGAACCTGGCCTTGGGGCAGCAGGGGGAATAAATCCGGCCCTGATCATGTGATGTCATGCACCCCGCCTCCAGGATGGCGGTGCACATGCACAGAATGTGCTGGTGGCCAAATCCAAAAATAGCACAGAAATGTGTTTCGTTTGATGAAACTAATGAAAACATTTTTAGTTTCCGTTCATTTCGTCCTAAATTAATTTTTAGTCTTTGCACATGTCTAATTGTGTGTGTATGTAGGGGGGGTTGTTTTTTCTTTTATTTTTTATTATTATTAATTTTTTTTACTGTTGGTGGGGCTTTGGGGGAAATATCAGAGGTCTAAACAGACCCCTGACATTTCCCTTTTGGAATAGAAAAAGAAATTGGGGACACAGAGTCCTCAGTCTGTTTTTCTGCAGCATCTGTTCTAAATGAATGGAAAGCATTCATTCAGAAACTGGTAATAGTAGACACACGGGGGGGGGGGGGGGGGTGTTTCTTTGTGTTTGGCGCACTTTTAGTGCGGAATGGATTTGTGCGCTTAGCCCAAGCGAATTTCCATAACAGTTCTACACCCAGAGCCACGCCTTATGGTGGCCGATACTCCTACACAGGAACCTCCGCTGGTCTTCTGGACCTGAGACCTCCCTGACCACATCGTATCACCCGAGGAGGACCCGACCCTCCCCCAGCTCTGACCTGGACCTGAGACCTCCCTGACCACATCGTATCACCCGAGGAGGACCCGGCGCTCCCTCAGCTCTGGCCTGAGACCTCCCTGACCACATCGTATCACCCGAGGAGGACCCGACCCTCCCCCAGCTCTGACCTGGACCTGAGACCTCCCTGACCACATCGTATCACCC